ACACACACACACACACACACACACACACACATATATATATATTTCGGGGGCTTCGATTGATCGGCTACCGATCACTATCGGCCGATAATCACGTTGGGATGACTGATCAACGGTCTCTAAAAAGGCCGATCTCAAAAAAACGATCTCAAGCTGATGACGCTGCCGTGAGAAGGTTTGGCATGACATGCAGTGGCACCGTCTCAGTCTGGCGTGGGTAAAATAATTATAATGCTGAAGGTGAGGTACTCACCTTCATATTTCTTAATAAAATAACGTATAAAGTAATTTGAAAACCTTGTGAGACGTAATTTCACAAACAGCATGAGTGAATCAGCGCGCGCTCTCTCTCTCTCAAAATATGCAAATCTTCAAATCACCACATCGCGTCTGTCTATAAGCGAGCTGCACACTGCACAGTTGACACAGGAATAGTCACTTACACAATCGAAGCAGTGTCACATCGTCACTAAAGTTTATAAATTGCATTACTTTTTAATTCTTGCCGGTGTTTAACCATCCAGCGCTCGTGTGCTCTCCTGGAGACCGTGCGCTCATGCACACTCGCAGCGCACACACATAATGCCAGGTTCACATTACTCCGTTTGCAGTGCGTATGTGGTGTGTATTTTTCCCACGCTCATGTTAACGGATTAATAAAGCGTGCATACTGCACACGGTTGCTGTCAGGCAGTGTGTTCCAGTAGCGGTGCATCTGCAGCAGTGCAGAGATCGTTTGATCGCACCGAGTCTACCGCTGCGCTGCAAGCGCTGAATTAAAGTGACAGCGCATTTTTTGCAGTAGGTATGAACATGGAATCTAACTAACATCTTATTGGAATTGAAAAAAGGAATCATTAAGAATTGGAATCGATAAGCAAATTTAGAATTGCTCAAATTCAAATTATACCCAACTCTCGGTTTACCTTTTTTTCTTTTTGGCAATTTTATTTAAGCTTGAAAATTCATTGTTGTGCTCATTTGTTAAGATTTTCAAGGTGAACAAAACATGTAATAATCATAAACCTTTGTTGGTTATTTTTTGCAATAATCTCAAAGCCAATGAAAAAAATCCAAATGGGTTTTTACTGAGGGAACCTAAGTGATGCTAATGTCCAGGTTGGCCAACAAAAATATGTCATCAATGCAGGACACCATTGAAAACGCATGTTAATGTCAGGTGTTAAAACACACCTAGAGACCCCATAATTTTGCCAGACAGAGGGCACGGACCTGTTTATGTTCATATGCCATGTGTGAACACCTTTGAGTTACAATTTCAAATGCTCTCCTACCACTTTCTTTCCCCACTCAAACATCACGTCTGTGCTCTTAGGTACCTTAAGTGCAGCAGAAATTTTTTTGTAACCTTGGCCAGATCTGTGCCTTGCCACAATTCTGTTTCTGAGCTCTTCAGGCAGTTCCTTTTGACCTCATGATTCTCATTTGCTCTGACATGCACTGTGAGCTGTAAGGTCTTATATAGACAAGTGTGTACCTTTCCTAATGAAGTCCAATCAGTATAATTAAACACAGCTGGACTCAAATGAAGGTGTAGAACCATCTCAAGGATGATCAGAAGAAATGGACAGCACCTGAGTTAAATATATGAGTGTCACAGCAAAGGGTCTGAATACTTAGGACCATGTGATATTTCAGTTTTTCTTTTTTAATAAATCTGCAAAAATGTCAACAATTCTGTGTTTTTCTGTCAATATGGGATGCAGTGTGTACATTAATGAGGAAAAAAAATTAACTTAAATGATTTTAGCAAATGGCTGCAATATAACAAAGAGTGAAAAATTTAAGGGGGTCTGAATACTTTCCGTACCCACTGTATGCAGAGGCACTTGTGATCTCTCTTCTTTACAAATGATCTAGATACAGATGTATGTCAGACCCTGTCGACGTGACAAACGGCATATTTACAGCCGTGGAGAATGAAAGAGGAAAAGATCACTCAGTCATCTGACACCTCTACCTTGAAGTAGAGACGAGGAAACTCGAGTACTTCCCAGGAATGCCTGGACCATGGAAAAAAAGGCACTTTTCCAGCACGATGAACTTTGCAAGCCCCATGTCTACTTTTACAATGAAACTTAAAACACAAAGGGGCAGATTTACAAGGAGACACAAAAGAAACTCACACATGCGAACATACATACACACGATTCCCCGGCTTATTTCACTGAGGGTTTCATTTCAGAGTGTAAACATGTTCTAAATCACACACACACGGTGACATTTAGAAGAAATAGGTATGCATTTTCTGTATTGGAAGTGTGCATGACATCAGGCAGAGGTGAAACCTGCCCAGATGAAAAACACATGGTTCCCTGAGGAGCAGTAGTACAGAACTGAAACGACTGAAGTATTCCAGGCCTGTCCAAACTAAGAGAATATGTCCCAAATATATGAAGAAAAAAAAAGCCGGAGGTCTAAATATAAAAGTTTCGTACTTCTCAGCATCAACTGCTTTTTCTCTGATTGTGAAATTCTTCAGGCAGATATTATTACAGTTTAAAGATATGAAACAGAGGTTGATTAAGGTGAGTTGTGTATTAAAAGTGATACTTTAATATGAAAGAGTGCCGTAATGCAGTAAGAATGGTTTTCATTTGTTCACAGCTACATGAGTGAGTCAGAGCATTTCAAGCTCAAAACAGGGCCTGATTATGGCATATAATATCATATTTCATAGTGGCAGTCTATTATTTCACTCACCATTAACTCAGAAGCGCTTATGTTTGATCACAGCTCTGTTTCTCTAACGTGGATATAGTACCAATAGCTTTTTTACAGATTGTGCTCATATTTTCTACTGGATACATACTGGATTTGAGAGCAGATGAGTTGACTTCGATCTCTCCTCCTTTGATTGGCTGGAAGCAGGCGAGTTCAGAGTCATAGGGTTCTGGGCTGGACTGTCCGTTTAGGCTGCTTCTTGTCTCCGTTCCATTCCCGGGACTCATGGCGCCCCTCTTCTGGGCCTCCTGTTCCTCGTATACAGCGATCAGCTGTGGGACACACAGCAGAGCAGTACAATTTAGAGCAGATAGGTCAGATACAGTTAAAATGTACAGTTAAAGAGATGCTCATAGAGGAACCGAGTGTAAGACTCGGATTTCAAAAGGGGAAAAACATAGGGGAATTGGTTTTTAACGATAACTTAAGACCTAGAAACTGACCTACTCTGAGCTCCAAAGTTGTTAATTGTTGGTTTTTGTAATCAGTGCACATTAGTCCAGCTTAATCCCTGGTGAAAAAAAAAACTATATTATACATGATTATGCAAAAAAACTCGCCCACCCAATACCACGAAGCACTGAGAATGATGCAATCAAGTTAAGCTTTCATTTAAAAAATAAAAATAAAGTAGCACAGACTGACACACAGACTTAAGAAACACTGACTACATCACAATACATACCTAATGCCAGAAATACACACATCAAACACATGTAAACATGTAGCCTAATCATATTTAATTTTTGGAAACTACAATTTTGAATAACCTCTGGGTTATCACCTGGGTGATACATAATCAGAACACCATAACTGCTGTTTAAAGACAACTCTACAAGCATCACACAATGGCTGTATCCAAATTTCTCATTTGTCCACTCAATCACTTTTGCCTATACACCACATACAGCAGTAAATGAAAGCGAGGGAGTGATTGTTGTTCATTCACCCCAAAAGTAGCAAACCTAATACTTGAACCATCGACCAAATGATCATTTTGTCTGCGTACAGTCCTTCAACACTAATGTTCTCAGCAAATTGCTTAGTCAAGAAAGATAAAACACTTGCCATTAACTTTAAGTTAATGTCTAAAAATGAATTACTCATTAACAATCTGCATATTTTTCTCATTATATTGCAAAACACATTTTTTAAATAGACTGATGATTTTTAGACTGAATGCATACTTTTATTCAACAAGGAAGCATTAAATTGATCCAGTGACAAAGACTTTTACATTGTTACAAAAGATTTATATTTCAAATAAATGCTGTTCTTTTGAATTTTATATTCATAAAGAATCCTGAAAAATTGTATAAGGGTTTTCACAAAAATATTAAGCAGGACAACTGTTTTCAATATTGATCATAAGAAATGTTTCTTGAGCATCATATTAACATATTAGAATGATTTCTGAAGGATCATGCGACACTGAAGACGGAAGTAATGATGCCAAATCACAGAAATAAATTACATTCTAAAATGTATTAAAATTGAAAACAGCTATTTTCAATTGCATTAATAGTTCTGAATATAAATATTAATCTTTTACTTTATTTTTGATCAAGTAAATGCAGTCTTGTCAATATAAGAGACTTCTATCAAAAAGTCAGCAAGTGTCCGTTTTACACTATAAATCAAAGTGCATTACGGTTATAAAATAACGCACTATATGTGGAATGAAACATTTTAGAATTTGGGCAACACTGCAAAATATTTTATACCCAATATATTTTACATATAAAGAAATCAAATGATTCACACTGACCTTCATTACCTTATGGATCAGGACGCTACAGAGGACATCTAAATAGCCCAGCATGGCTAGTGTGTAATGTGTTGATCTCAGTATGCGATGACATCCATTCACTTCACTTTGTGTGTGTGAGGCCTGCCGGCCTCATCAGCACAGTTAAATACATGCATCCATCCCTATTCACAGAGTCACTGACACTGCACTTAGACTTCTGCTGCACTGCTGTTCTAGCGGCCTCCACACATGTGCGTCTGTGCATGTAGAGCATATGTATATGAGAGTGAGTGCAGTGAATAAATGCAGTCAGGGACAGAAAGAGGAGTTTGCTGGTAAAACCAGAGGCTTCCTGCCTGAGAGAGACAGCAGGAGAGTAAACACATAAATAAACAATACACACTGTGACATTCAGTAAAATGTGTATGTGTGTGTGTGTGTGTGTGTGTGTGTGTGTGTGTGTGTGTATGAATGACTTAAATAAGAGAGTGTTATATTCAGGATACAACATCTCCGTACCAACTATGATACAGCATTTTGCATAATTTTTATTATTTCTATTATTATCCTTATGAGACTGGGCTTATTTAACTGTCATTCTTCTTGTGCACTAAATCAGCATATTAGCATGATTTCTGAAGGATCATTTGACATTGAAGACTGAAGTAATAGCTGCTGAAAATTCAGATTTGCATCACAGGAATAAATTGCATTTTTTTAAATATATAAATAGAAAGCAGTTATTTAATTGTAATAATGTTTTATAATTTTAATGTTAATTAATATTAAAATATTAATCAAATAAGTGCAGCCATGAACATAAAAGACTTCTTAAAAAAATGTTTTGTTTTGTTTTAATAATAAATAAAATAAAAAAACTTACCTAAGCCTTTGAATAGTAATGTCCCATCATAAAAAAAACACACCTTTCATCATCCTAGATAAATTTAATTATTAAACTCTGAGGCCTGGTTTCACAGACAGGGCTTAGACTAAGCCAGGATTAGGCCATCGTTCAATAAGGACATTTAAGTAATTTTTATAGATGTGCCTTAGAAAAAAAATATTACTATCCATCTTGAGACAAAACAAAGGCACTGATATATTTTAAGATCACTCAGTGCAAGTTTCTTTCAGCTGAAACAGCTCAGACAGCTCAGACTTACATTTTAGACTGGGACTAGTCTTAAGCCTTGCCTGTGAAACCAGGGGTAAATTTCAAACAACTCTTAAAGTTAAAACAGAAGTGTCTTACACAACTTTTTGTGAAAAAAGGTAACTCTTTTAGCGAATGAGGGGAAAGTTGATTTTAAAGGGATAGTTCACTAAGCACGTGTCTATATCGTGTGCTATATCGAACATTTTTTCTATCATTATCGAAGATGGTGTACCGTCGATAAATATCGATACCGTTTTATCGCCCAGACCTAGTCAGAAAGCTCTCGGATTTCATCAAAAATATTTTAATTTGTGTTCTGAAGATGAATGAAGGTCTTACGGGTTTGAAACGTCATGAGGGTGAGTAATGACAGAATTTTTAATTTCGGGTGAACCATCCCTTTAATAGTACTTTTTTACTCATTTTAATTACAAAATGTATTTTTCTGTTCCTTAAGAGTATCAAATTGTTAGCTTAGCAAGCCATGTATTAATCATTTGTGGAGTTGCAGCATATGTACACCTATTTGTCCCTTTTGGGGTTGAATTCAATTAGGATGCTGCCTATGTAGGCAGTAAACAGCAAGGCAGCTCAGTCTTCAGTGTCACACGATCCTTCAGAAATCATTCTAATATGCTTGAAAATCATTTATATGCTGACAACAGTTGTGCTGCTTAATATTTTTGAGTGAACCATGATACATTTTTTCAGGATTATTAGATGAATACAAAGTTCAAAAGAACATTATTTTAAATAGAAACTTTTGTAACATTATAAATGTCTTCAATGTCTCTTTTGATCAATTTAATGCATCCTTGCTGAATAAAAATGTATTTAAAAATGTTTTTACTAACCCTGACCTTTTGAACGGTAGAATATCTAACAAATAAAATTTAATTCAGCCTCATCCATCAATAGATAGATCATTTTTAAAGAGAATTTTATAAGACATACTGTAGTTAATATTGTGCATTAAAATAAGTGTTGATTTTTTTTGTCAAAATTAAATCATCCAGCCTGCTCTCAAACATGGTATTGGCATCAGACATCAAACAACTATATTGGCTGACATATGGCATTTACAAGTAAAATAGTTTTACTTCAGACTGGCAGAGAAAATAATGTGGGAGGAATAGCTGCTGTGTCAGAAACAGAAACGGGACGTCCATCAACTGAAGGCCACCGCAAGTGTAACTTCCAGTGTAGACATCTTTGCTGAATATAATGCAAGCAATCTAATCGGTGTGTTACAACATAAACCTCGTGTATACGATATAGACAGGGTTAGTTGTCTCTCCACCTCTAAACCGCCATCCCATGCTCCCTCTCTTGGGCTTTAAAGCTGCTGTGTTATGCAGTGTGGCAAAGGTCCTTCTCATTGAACCCCGTACCCCAGAGTGTCGTAAACACATCTGTCTTAATGTGTTTAACACATGCAGCAAAGTGCTCTGAACACAGCACCCTGGCAAAGCATGCTGGACAACACTACATCCTGCAGACCTGAGACAGAGACATAAGCTCTAGTGACCTAGTGAGCTGCCTTGCTGTCTATAGACACCTACCTTCTACAGCAGCATCCCAACTCAATTGTAACTTCATCACTGATTTTGAACACCATCTAAGCAGCAACTGTGAGAGCCACACAAATAGTGCCCTTCACACAAAGCACACAGTCTGGTGTTAGCATGCTACGCTAACAACACAGAACTTAAGAATAAAAATACATGCATACACAAATAATGTGTAAAAAGAACATTTCAATAAAGATTTTTCACTAGTGAATGTATTATTGTTGATAAACATTTTGTTCACTGCAGCCGCCATCCTGGATGGACTTTTTCACTGAACTCGTCAGATTGCATTCTGGGATTGTCTTCGCCCTGAAGAATGTCGCCCTAAGATTTCGCCAAAAAAAAAAAACATCTTAGAATACAGCAGAGTCATGCTGCCTACATTGTTGTGCCTTTGGTAGGGAATCACCCTTATGATGCCTTAAAGCAGTGGTCGGCAACAGGCACCTAAATTAGCATGTGTGGACCAAAACTGGCCCGTCAGCAATAATATCTGGCCCGCGCCCGCAGCCAGATTATTTTGATAGCGACTGGTTCTGAAATAGATCTGTCATGACAGCAACAGTTACTCACAATCAGAGTATGCGAGCGGAGCGGTGTGACTTTGACCGGAGCGAGGAGCGGATTTTTTTAAAAAGTTGGAGCGTGATTTTCACTCACTTCTAGAGCGCTTCACCACCGCTACATCACGAGTACATTTCATGCCAACAGCCCATAATATAACTGCATATTTAGCAATAATTCACATGTTAAACATTTAGCTAGCATGATAGAGAAGGATCACTCAAATCA